TGATGTGGTCAGAGGAAAGCAGGTGGAAAGCAGGCAGAACAGCTCCTGCACACCTGCCCTGGGACACCTGTGCAAGGATCACAGAGCCCAGCGTCCACCCCAGGAAGGGAAATGCACTTGGGATGCCTCGTTTCTACTTGTCTTCCTTCTTGAGCTGGGGCAGAAGCTGATGAGAGGCAAAGAGCTCTGTCTTCAGCAGCAGGCAACAACATTTCACCTCATACCATTGTCTATCAATTGAAAATGATTCTATCTCTCAAGCTTCTGAACAAAATGTTTTTGAATTCCCACTCATCCTTCCAGAAACATTTCTACAAATCCTGGTTTGGTTTATAGCACTTGAAATGCACGAAGCATACTCACGATTGGATTTTGCTCTGCACACAAATTATGCTCTGCATTTCCTTGGACTCCTTTAGTGGAACCTTCCCCAGGATCTCACTGTCAGTGACGTCTGGCACAAAGCACATGTTCCCAGGCCAACCCTTCGCTTGCCCAGCTACTCCGCCCCACCCCCCTACACAAATTAACTTTTAAATTCAAGTGTACTCAGTGTTCTCTACTTTCTCCACCCCTTCCCTCTCCAGCCCACAATGTTCTGTGAAAAAACAAAATAAAATGGAAAAGCAAAGCAGAGTATTACGAAAAATAAATCAAGGCCATTCTTTTTAGGACCATCAGAGAGTGTTTGCATGGCATTAAAAAAAAGGGAAGAAGTAGGCTTTGGAAACAGTAGTTTTGAAAATACCCCTAACATATTTTAAAGGGCGTATATCTAAGGTTGTAACATTATTTTTAAAGTGCAAGGAAATGTTAAAACACACATTTCAGTACAGTGGTTACCCTTGTGGGAGTCAGAGAATAGGATCTGGGAGGAGTGTGCAGGCACCTTCTCTGGCGGCAACTCTTAAAGTAGACGGTGAAATCACAAGTTTTGCTTTATTATTATTCTACCCAGTTCACGCATGTCACATACATTCTCTTTATGCATCACATTATATGTAGTATTTATAAAGAAGTAAGGGAAGCAGCAAAACTGAATGTAAAACAAAAGTTAATACAGTGATTATCAGAGAGAAATAAAGAGAGAAGGAAAGAGAAAAGGTAACATGTTTTTGTTCCTAGAGAGGTTCACATTCTAGTAGAGAAAAGAGCCATCTAAAAAAATTGTTATTAAATATAACATGGTGACCATAACAACAGAATTTTAAAAAAAAACACTGCCTCTAAGGGCATACATAGTATTTAAATTAACAACGAGTGCATGTAAATTTCAAATCCCTAAGTGTCTTTGCCTTAAAATATAATTTTACCCTTCATAAGTATCAATATTGCTTTACATTTCCTGGGACCCTTCCCACACCCCAGAGTCTAGGTAACATGGTCGTCCTCTGGGCTCCCACTGGACACTGCGTTTCCTCCTGAACATATCACAATGTACAGGGATCCCTGGTTTACTGTTGTACCCAGTGCCTGGGTCACTGCCTAGCACATTAATAAACATTTTAAAAAAACAAATGAGTAGCATTACCAGGGTCAGTTGTTTTAAATGGTAGCTGAGACTGAGAAGAAAAGGAAGGGTGGAAACGCTGAGTTGGAGAATCTTATCCAAAACTTGAGAATGACCCAGTGTTGCATGGGAAAAATCCCTTTACTGTCCCTGGTTCTCCGAGCTGGGCAGTATAGGAGGCTATGGCGCAATCTGCAGATTCTAACCATTGCCCTGTATGCACTAGTGCTTCTAAGCTCGTGGCTTGGATCTTTCACTTCTTCCTCTAACGATGAGGGAAAAGGCATTGGATGTCAGGCAGTAACCCAGTATCAGATACATGCATAGCCTTCATCTTTCAAGAACAGTCAGGCCCGCCAGTAGTCTCTGCAGAAATCAGATCTTCTTGGCAGAGGCTTGCAGAGCCTGCCTATCTCAACCTCAGAGGTGAGTACAAGAAGCCAAACACTCAGGAAGATCCAGTTTCCCTGAATAATGTTGCTGCCGTGTAAGACAAGGAAGCATCCCTTCCTCTGAAAGTGCCACAAACTCTCCTGACAGAAAAGGATGCAACAAATAGAAATGTCAACTGAGACCTCGGAAAGCTCCCCAGATATGACCCGAATATCATGACAGAAGCACCAAGTACCTAACAAACAACTGACGAACTGTGCACCATCAAAGCATGTGCATGCGTGACTAATAACAATGGAATAGAAAGTGGGGCATTATTTTGTTCACAGACTAGCAGAATGTAAGTAAAAGGTCACCATGCTAGTGAGGATATCATTAAGGATTTAATTGTTCCATTGCAACTTTAAAATAGAAGGCTTATTCTAGCTAGGCCATCTGAGTGATATTGTATCTGAAATTATGTTTAGCTAAACAGATTCAGCATGTATGAACATACGTTGATTCCAAGTTCCCAGCCTCTCAAGACCTCATTTTAAACCACATCCTACAAATGCTACCCGCCCCCCCCCACCCCGCCCGCTCCTTTTCTTCATTCAAGTGACTTGGTATAGTCCTTGATGCACATGCCACGTTTTTTCCAGGGAAAACAGAAGGAAAGAAGAGAATATGCCAGGAAGAAGTGGAAATTAAAGTGGCATTAAAATAAAAATAAAGCTGCAAAATATAATCTGGGTCAACTCTTCATGAGTTTTAAAATAAGCACCAGCAGGCTCAGCACATATGGCATTGGTTTTATGTATTTTTTTGGCTCAGATGTCACACAGAATTAGTGCAAAAGGAAAAATCCCAGCATGGGGCCTATTTTTATACAGATTAATCAATCATTTCCCATCTCCTTCTCTCCCATCATTCCTCAAACTTTGAACTTAATGAAAAATGAAATTGCTTTTTTTCAAACTAAGTCATGGAAATCCTTTTAGGAAAAAAAGCTAACTTAATATTTGAACTTAGATTTTAATCATCACATTTTAAATTCAAGTTATAAATATTAACTAGACTTATGCTATGGCTCAGCCTCTTTTATATTAAACATTTACTGTGATATCTTATGTATCCATTTTGTTAATAGCAACACAATTTCATATATATACATACATACACACACACACACATATATATATATATATTTAGCAAAACAACAAAGCCACACATTTGAAAAGATAAAAAACTACTACTGTATATTTCACTTTTTGTTAGGTACATTCTCATGTACATAAAATCCCAGAATTCCCATCAAAGTGCTAAGTACATAGTAGATTCTTAGTTAGTATTTGATAAGAAATTTGATAGGCTGAATCAAATTGAAACAAATACTTGTTCAAGCTATTAGCTAATGCCTCCCTTGACTACCAGGTGTTGTAAAAATGGTGATAATGTTTATAGTATTCATAATACAATAGAAGCTATTTTTTGTATGCTTCTATTCATATATATTCTATTCCTATAATCATATGCCATTGATTATTTCACTGAATTTTCAAAGCAGCCGTATGTGAGTGGTGCTTTTAGTATCTCCACTACATAGATGAAAGAAAAGTTTTAGAGGGAAGAGTCAGATATTTTGAGGTTAAAAAGAAATCTCATACTATGCTGGGTTTTAGAGGTGGGTGGGGGACTTCATTGCAGATATACTGAGAAAGGGATATGGGGCTTTATACTATTGGTGCAGTAAAAGTTTGGAGAAAGTGTCATCCACATGGTTTCCAGGGTTCCAAAATCATGATCTCTATAGAATTTCTCACACACCCATGTTTGTCTGCTATTCCATCTACTGTTAGAAATTATATTTATGAAATGTTAAGTTAATCACCTAAAGCTTGACCCCAGTGACAAAGCCAGGGACAGAGTAGTCCTTGGTACATTCACATTCTCAAAGGGTGGTATCTTTTCACCATTCTCAGCAATTAAACTTGAACCATGACTAACCATTGGAAAAGATGACATGAACACAGTATGTCCTTTGCCTAAGTAGTCACGAGCACAAAAAAGTAAACAAAGTTAACAATCTAGCATAATGCTGTGTTCACTTTTTTATATGATTAAAGATGAATTTATCTATACCAATATAGCATATGTTTTGCTTTTTGTTTAGAGCTGCCAGATGTCAGCTATATATGTGAACAATCTAAATATCTTAATTTTACACAATTTTAAAGTTACCGAACTAAAGTTGGAGTTGCCATAAACATAGTCTTTCTTTTGTTTCTACTAATTAATTTTACCACCACAGGCATTAATCATTTGCCCAGCAGATGAAAATACTTTAAGATGACTCACGTGTTTTACAACACTACAAACCCAAACTTTATGCTCTTGGAATGTACAGTAAAGAAGAAGTGTTAGGTCAGATCAGTTAATAAAAATAAAAATGTTCCACATCCCAATTCCATGAACATTAACTGTTTCAGAATTTCTACTGGATGCCATGTGAGAAAAGTAAATTAAAACTGGCCGGAGAGATGTGCTGTCAGTAATTTTCCTGGTAATCAGGCAGACATGGGTATTCCCTTTCCTAATCACATGCGCAGGCTCTCTCTTGATGATAAATACGTCGTGTTTCAGCCTACACAGAGGCCCATTTCAAACTATGTGCAGTGCCAATTAGCGTTAATTGTGGCTGTGTTCATCTATTCCCTTAGCACACCACTGGTAAGGCCAGGCTTTTCATTTACAAATGCAACATGCAATGCTCATGGTTAGAAGAGCATTCTAAATGTAATTGCCAATGGTCAGTCTTTTTCATTGTGGCAGCAAATTGACTTACAATTGCACAAATAGACTCATAAATGACAAAGAGTATTTAAAATAACACGTGTATATTTTTAAAAGTTTAGTTATAAGACCATGCATTCAGAATATCTGAGAGGTGAAGATGAAAACTTGTTTTAGGCTCCATTTTGGCCTACCATAACTAACTTACACACACACTCACACACACACACACACACACATACACACACACACACACACACACACACACAGTCTAGCCTCTGTGATCCAATATAATTATTTACTTACTGTGACTAATACTACTTACTTAGAAGGTAAGCTCCGTAGACTTTCATGGCAAACATTGCCTCTGCAAACAACCTCCCAGCACAGACTGGGGTATGTCTTTTGCAGAAATACAGTGTGTGCAGCTCATATCTCAGTAGAGTACAGTCTCAGAGTGGGGTATCCATGGAGACTGAGCCTTCTGCATGTGCAGGGCAAGGAAGTTACTCTGCTGGCACCATAGCAACAGGAGGCAGAGGGAAAGCCAGCCTATCAGGGAAGAGCACAGGGCCTTCTCCCTGGTGACTGCAGTGTTCCAATGAAACCATCGCCCTCATGAATGGACACAAAGCATTTGAAGAAATACCAAATTGTCAAATAGAAGTAAATGCCTACACAACAGTCAAGATGAATCTTTGGACAATATTGGAGCAAAACGTATAGAATCTTTCCACAATGATTATAATATCCCAAGGGGCAAGCAAGACATTATATCAAACCCCACAGAGCCCGAAATTTTATGGCAAACACAACATTTTGAGAAAAATGCTTGGTGTACTCCAATGAATTCCAGCTATTTAAATATGCACGACAGTTCACAGCACTGCCCAGAAGAGAGGAACAGGGGAGCCTTATTATTCTGAGAGAAAATGGAATACAGAGCTCTCTGAAACAATTCAAGGCAGATTCCCTCTAAATAGAAGTTTGCTCAGAAAAAATGTTTAATAAGCTTCCACCAAAGCTCTCTATTATTTCAGAATAATTCTTACTAAGAAGGCATCCGTGACAGAATAGGACTAATGCAGATGAGATGATGAGTGAACATTCAAATGCCTTAAAGTTGTGCTATTCATAGACTTTCCTTATTTCCCATTTTATAACAATAAAAGTGATCATTTATTGAACACGTACTGTATGCCAGGCAAATATTGTCACTACAAACACAGCTGACTGTCAAATGCCAACACCGATTTTTGCAAAGATAGAGGATGTGCATGTTTACCTCTCAACGTTGTGTAGTACATATTAGGTGATGCATATATTCTGCTACATATCTAACACCTTTCATGATTTTCACAATCATGCAAAGAAAGCTACATATTAATTATCCCCTCATATTACAGTTAAAGAAAAAGAGAGAATATTTCCTTATGTTACCAAATAAACTCCCCCCAACTGGCGCTGCTCTGCAGGTGACCTGGTCCACCCTACCTTAATGTCTAAATATAAGGTGAAGAACCCCTCCTCCCGCAATTATCTCTCAGAAACTAAGAAATCCCCTTACATTAGAGTCCTTCCAAAGCCTCTTATTACAGGGCTCTCTCATAATTACCTTCTTTGAACAAAAAGTGCCATTTGCAAAAGACATATCCTTCTGAATTGGCTGCAATCAGTGCTAGTTTTGGTTCCCTTTGGAGATCCAACTGACAGAATTGTTTAAAATGGAAGAGACAAAGAAATTTAAAAACAGATTTTGTAATTATTTGTATGGTATGACTCTTCCAGCCTTTTAATGATCACTTTAAATAGAAATACAGTCAGTGGTTAAGTTGTAGCAATCACAAAAACCTACATTCCTTTTTTTGCTCTCTGAATTCAGGGACTGAATAGCTTTGGATAAGGAAGGATACTCATATATGTATACAAGACATATATGAATGTACAGAAAAACCAGCTGTCCCATGCTATCTAGTGACAACCTGCTTGCTAGTTGCACACTAATGTCCTTCTCTATTCTCTTTTTCCATAGCAAGTACTCATTTGACTATGATGTCCTGGCTGTAACTGGAAATGACATGGGCCATGGAGTTCAAGGCTACAGTGAGTTATGATCACACCACTGAACTCCAGCCTGGGGGACAGAGCAAGACACTGTCTCTCCAAAATAATAAATAAATAAAACACCTAAAAATCTCATTAGGAAAATTAGGGGATTTTATATATATATATATGTGTGTGTGTGTATATATATAGTCTCCCTATACTTTTCTGTATTTCCACCACCTCCATCCTAGGCTAAGCCATCCAAATTTAGTGTCCTGCTTCCAGTTTCACCTCAATCGAAGTTCAACAGAGTCATCAGAGGGATCCCAAACATGTAAATCAAATCATTTCTCCCTTCTTAAAACCGTCCAATGTCTTCACATTACTCTAAGGATATAGACTTCAGCTGCTACCACTCTTCTTCCTTCCTAACTCACCGCTCTGCCCACCACCTGCCACCCCATCCCCAACCCTCCCTAAGCATGGAACAATAAGGTTAAAGTCTCAGCTCAAATGTCACCACCCTAGACACTCCCCTGACCATCCCCCATCATTCTCCAGTTACCTTGTTTTACTTGTCACCATTTGAACTTATCTTGCTTGTGTGCAAGTATCAGCCATCTCCCCACGTTAAAGGTAGGCATCTTGTTTTTTCACTCCTCTATCCTTAATACCTGGAACAATGGTGTCAGCATAGAGCAAACACTTAATAAATATTCACCAAATGAATGAATGAAAGCTAGTAAATGTACAGCCAGGAGTGAATCTATGTTTAACGGAAATCTCTTCTTGATTACGTGGTGAAATGAGGGTTCCCTTTCCTTCAGACTCCTTCAGAGCGATCACCTTCTTGCAGTGCTACAAACATGCCAGTCCGTGTATGTTGGAATACAAGCTTATTGCAGCTGTGTTGCTGAAGCATTACCCCACTTGACCGCAGTCGGCATTCATATAGCTTACTTGGCTGCTCTCAGATATAGGCTTAGGTGGTGGAAGAAATTAACCCATCGAATTGCCCAAGTGAACATACTATGCTGTTCAACAAGTAACTTTCTGTAAATAATCCTACAGTTCACCAAAATGCCATGCAACAGATTGTACCAGCAGACAGTGAGGTCCAGGTATTTATTCCTCTGGCTCCTTTTCTGCTGGTGGCTGTGTTCCTCTGCCAGAGTCCATAGTTCCTTCACAGGTGGCCTTGAAGTTCTCTCTCTAGGTTGGTAACTCTACCCTCCTCTTGCTCCTTCAGGATGCAGGAATGGCCCCAAGCTGTTGCCAGCACTCAGTATTTCACCATAGTTTGTCAGATCCCCTTAATCATGCACATACCTTTGCAGGCAGTCTCTTCAATAAATGCTCCTCAATTAGGGAGGTGGGGAAAGCCCAACCTAAAGCATATACCTGCATGATTCACAATGCTTGGTTTAGAAGTCTGTGTGTAAAAGAAGTTTCCAGGTTTATTTCTGTTATGCTGACAGTTGATAAATATGTTGAATGGTAGGTATCTGGTCTGCTGGAGCTTCCACTACTTTTGAGAGACCTATAACGCTTCCTTCTCAACACATTAGAGTACTGAGTAAGCATTTGGCAGGCCCCCAAATCAGTGGCTAAGAACACTGTGCATGCAATAAATCCCAGTAGACCCAGGATTTGGATGGCAGTTACCTTTGGAAAGAAGAGGATTATAATTCACTAATTCTTAGGGAAAAACCATTAAAGGGCCATTTGGCACCATTACATCATTTGGGTGCATCATCGAAAACACAGATGGGAGAAAGGCATGAGAGAAAACATGTAACCCTGCCATAAAGATAAACACGTAAGTCCACTTATCACAGTTAAGCTTTATTTTACTGGTTTGGTCCCTGCTGGGGAGATGTGATAAACTATAAAACGGCCTGCCATAAAGCATGATCTGCTGTATCCTAGGGGAACGTTCTTTCTCTCAGGGTGAAAGAAAGTTTTAGAGATCTATTTCAGCATAAACACAAAAGCTCTTGCTTAAGCTGACAAACTCCAATGATTTTCGTTTAAGAAAATATTCATGATATGCAGGGTAGCACATAAAACATTTTGACATGTGAAGAAAGGACTAGCTCATGATTAAGTAGAAAAACACTGAAGACCTTAATTTTTTTATATTCATATCTTTATGGTTTATTTTACTGATTTGCATCCAAATGGCCTTGTATGTTCACCTTTCTGTACTTCATTGCAGTTACATTGAGGCTCACTGATTTTGTTACTGGAAACTGTCAACATAATGTACATATGGACTGTATCAGCTAATTTATAAAAATTAGTAGGAATTTTTAGGGTTCTACAAACATTTTTAAAAATTGTGTTTTATATCAACACATCTTTCTTAATTTTAACACTCTCCTAGTGCAATTGAAATTACTCCTTTCAAGGTGGACTTTACTACTGTGGCAGCGGTTAAGAGTTAGGAGCAAGGCTACCCCGTTTAAAATCCATTTACAAGCTGTGTGACCTTGGATGAGTTACTTAACCTCGTTGTGCCCCAGTTTTCTTATCTGTAAAATGAAGGATAATGATATCCCTTTCTTGCACCGATATTAGGATGAAATGAGTTAAGTGCTTGGAATTTTGCTTGGGACAGACAGTGCTCAATAACCATTCATTAAAAAAAAAACTAATCAAATTTCAGAGTGTTATTCAAGCCCACAATTACACCTAATATATCCTTCTAAATATTTTCATAAGGCTCATAGTATTTGAAATAGCTTACAGCCTGTATTTGAGGGTGGGGTTTGCTGCTAGAAGACCTTAGCTTACAACTTGTGAGCTATTAGAAAAATAATGCCTTGCCAAAGTATGCAGAATGTCTTCATATAACTCAAATCTTCCCTTTTAGCATTAAAATTTTAATTTTTTGCCACTTTATGGAGACACTGTTAAAATGCTTGACACATTTTTCTGCCTTCATATGCATTGTGTTTTGCCAGCTCCACCATCACATTGATTCAATCTGCTTTTACATCAATTACTGCACTAAGTGCTACAAGTAATAAAAGCCTTCGATGGCCTAAAACACTTAAAAGGCCACCCAGGCCGAGTGTGGTGGCTCATGCCTGTAATCCCAGCACTTTCGGAGGCCAAGGCGGGCGGATCACCTGAGGTCTGGAGTTTGAGACCAGCCTGACCGGCATGGTGAAACCCCGTCTCTACTAAAAATACAAAAATTAGCCTGCCGTGGTGGCAGGCACCTGTAACCCCAGCTACTCAGGAGGCTGAAGTGGGAGAATTGCTTTGAACGTGGGAGACAGAGGTTGCAGCGAGCTGAGACTGCACCACTGCACTCCAGCCTGAATGACAGAGCAAGACTCTGTTAAAAAAAGAAAGGAGGGAAGGAAGGAAGGAAGGAAGGAAGGAAGGAAGGAAGGAAGGAAGGACCGACCCAGCTTTTTAGTGGTCTCTGTCTGCTCACTTATATTTTCCCATCTCTGTTCATTGTCAGCCATCAGCTGTAAATTCATACTCCTGCCTGTCCTCCTAGAGCAAGTATTCCTCTCCTTTTATGCGAACTGGGATAACATAACCTGCTAGATTTTTGTTTCAAGTACACGCAAATTGTGCGTGAGAGTTTTAGGAGTTTTCCTGTACATAAAGTGCACAGAATGTATGGCATCTATTTTAAGATTACAAGTGACCATCAGTAACATTTAGTGAGGAATTACTTTCTGCCAGGTCCAACACAGAGCACTTGATATTCACTAATTTCTTCTATTTAATATTTTCGATAACCCATTATACAGACGCAGAACACAGAGGCTCAAGAAGACAGCAAGTAGCTAAAGATCACACAGCTACAAAATAGTGGTATAAAGATTTGAACCTAGTATGCTGGACTCTAGAGTCTGGTGGTTAGAAAGTCCTCCTCCACCTGCACCCAATAACACAAATGTACTTTTTTTTTTTTTTTTTTTTTCTCAAGATAGGACAAGTTGGGTAATCTGGGGAGAGGCTGTGTAAATCTATGCTCTCAACTCCCCTCTAGCTGCACCCAATAACACAAATGTACTTTTTTTTTTTTTTTTTTTTCCTCAAGATAGGACAAGTTGGGTAATCTGGGGAGAGGCTGTGTAAATCTATGCTCTCAACTCCCCTCTAGGTTGTTTCAAGTTATTGCAAGAATGGCCTACTCTAGGTAAGTTGTCTAGCTGTGTTTTATTTCACAGAACTAACTTTGAAGTGAAAGTGATGCTCATGATAAGAACAGAAACATTTGTCGGCTTCACTGTGTGTGCATGAGCCTCTATTAAGGGAATCAGTGTTGATTAATCACTAACTTCGTTGGTGCCTTTTGAGTTTTCCAGCAAATGCTTCTGAATGTGGGAAATAAGGTTTTTTAAAGTAACCAATCCTCTGCTATTGTTGTAAGGTTATTAGAGTTCAGCTTAGCTAGGTCTCCAATTTCAGTAGCAGGGGTAGTGTCTGATGACAAGGGGATACTAACTTAGTTTGAATGCTAAGGAGATACAGTGACATCTTTCACATGCAGATTTTAACATTTCAGTTTCTAAATGTGGATTGTTTTAAATTTTAGTGACTCTAACCATTTGCTCTTTGCCAATCTCCTTAATCGCCTCCAGTGCTTTTCTCCTTTCACATTTTCTACTTATTTGTTTAAATTATGTAATGGTTTTCCCACCTCTCTAATTAACCTTGTGGACAAAAAGATTTAGTACTTTCCTTTGTAAAACAATGACATTAGATCTTTTTCTTCCTTGCTTTAAGATATTCCCCAAGTAGGAAGTCAAGCCTTAAATGAGGCCCAGCACTGTCATTTAATATTCTAAGGAAGTAATCCAATTAGGTAGGTCTTTCATTTCTGGGTAAAAAGAGTTTCATCAGGAAACTGACTGCAAACTAAATACGGGAGGAGCACCCAGGAGAAGGAACACCCCAGATTCCTAAAAAGTTTACCAGTTGTAAAGCCTTCATTCCTCTTCTTTTAATCTGTACCACAGTCCAAACTTATCATACAGTATTCTGCCTTAAGTTACAAGCTCCCTAAAAGCAGGGATGCTGTGGAGGATGTTCTTTGTCACCACTTCCCCACGCTCCTCCCACACAAAACATAATCTCTTGCACAAAGTATAAACTGTACTTCTCATTTAAGTATTTATTGGACAGCGTTAATACTTTATGACAGACACAATATTAGGCTCTGCAGATTCAGCCTTGCGTGTTTTGCAGAGTTGTAGACAAAAGAGAAACATGAAAACACAAAGCCACCATCCAACTGGACTGGAGGACTGTTTTTCTTTTGCTCCTTGGTGGCAATTTTTAATTAAATCTGCATAGGCATTAAGTGATAGAAGCCAAAATGACAGAAGGCTCCCTGCCTCCAAGAAGTTTCCAGAACCAGTTCCTGCCTGGAAAGAGGAAGGGCTTTCCTGCTGCGCGTGCTGCCGGGCCCTGTTGGCAAGGTACAGGCTTGCTCGGCTCACCTTTCCAAGCCCTTCCCCGATGTCCTGTGACATATTTCCCTTCTTCTTCTGCATCATACAGTCAGGGAACATTATTATCTCTTTATCTGAATGACCAAAGGGGCATTTTAATAACTCCTTCCTGAGGTGAACAGCAGTGTTCCAGAATCTAGAGCAAGAGACCTAAAATTAAATGGGCTTAGGTTACTTAATGTTAAAGAGTCCCTGAGCCTCTGTATAAGAGCCACTAATTGCTTGCTATTTTAATAAATTGGTATTGTTATTAATGAGTTGACTTATTTTTTAAAAAGTAGAGCATGCATCAAGAGTTGAAGATCCGTTTTGGCTGAGAGGAGATGGTCGCTTGGGGCTATGGAGGAGGCAGGACATTTTAACCTGAGAGCAGTATCCTCTTGTGTTTTAACAGATTATGTCTCTGGATTTTATAAATTTCAGAGTCATCTAGGGGCCTCGCTTCCAAGATTTCCTCTCTTCATATTTATGAGACTGACAGTTTTTCTGCTAAAAGTTCAGAGAACTATAGGTCATGGTGCAGATTTTTGTCAAAGAACTTACTGTGCAGAATTGGGTCACACTCAAAAAAGTTGTAGCAACCTTTTCAGTGAAGACATTAGAAATTTTAAGCGACTAAAAAAATAAGCTTTAAGGAACCCTTTACCTTGGTTAAATATGAATAAATAAAAAGATCACCAGCTAAAAACTGCTCGGGTGATATTTATGCCTCTGAGCAATTATATTAGAAGCAGTTGACAAAGTTGACAAAAGTGGTTGTTTGAGGCTTTGGCTTTGGGGAAGGGTCATTGAACTAGGATTCATAAATGCTAACAAATGAGATCCATGAACCCCCTGATACAGTATGTGATATTTTGTGCATATGGACACTCTTCTGGAGTATGGGTGCATAGTTTTAATGATTCTCAACGATCCATGAATCAAAACAGCATTAAGAAAAACTGTTTTTGTTTTCTTTCCTTCCTTCCATTCTTTTATCCTTCCTTTATTCCCTGTAATTTTTTTTTTTTTTTTTTGAGACAGAGTCTCTCTGTTGCCCAGGCTGGAGTGCAGTGACATGATCTCAGCTCACTGCAACCTCCGTCTCCAGGGTTCAAGCGATTCTCCTGCCTCAGCCTCCTGAGTACCTGGGATTACAGGTGCATACCACCATGCCTGGCTAATTTTTGTATTTTTAGTAGAGATGGGGTTTCACCACATTGGCCAAGCTAGTCTTGAACTCCTGACCTCCTGATCTACCTGCCTCGGCCTCCCAAAGTACTGGGATTATAGGCGTGAGCCACCACGCCCGGCCTATTCCCTTTAATTTCTTCATGAAGATGGAGAGTCATAATACTTCTCATCAAGATGAGTGGCTGATCTTTAGCAAATGAGTATTTTCTACAGGACTAGGGAAATGTTCAGTGTGAGTTCTGTATATATACACAGAGTTTTAAGTATTTTGTTAACACATAATTATTAGGATTATTGAAACAAGGAAGGGCCATGATAATATTAACTCTCATATAGACGTAGTTTGTTCTTACTGTGCCATACTTGTCTACTGTTTTACTGTTTCCTTGTATTGCCATCACCATAAAATGTTTTGGGAATGAGGTGGTGGGGGTAGGATGAGGATAACAAAAATAAAATCATTACAGGTTATGTTCAAACCCTACAATAGCTTCACGATGAAACATACTTTTTTTTTTTTTTTTCAATCTATGAAGTTGACATTCTTTCCTACATCATTTTATCTTTTGAATCCCATAGCCTACCTTTGCTGTTGAGGTGGACAAATGTTGACTGAGTCCCTAATGTGCACTAGAGCCTGTGTTCTGGGAATGCAAAAGATGACAGGAGGGCCGGGCACAGAGGCTCATGCCTGTAATCCCAGCACTTTGGGAGGCTGAGGCGGGCAGATCATTTGAGGTCAGGAATTTGAGACCAGTCTGACCAAAATGGGGAAACACCATCTCTACTAAAAAAAAAAAAAAAAAGAAAAAGAAAAAATTAGTCAGGCATGGTGGCGCTTGCCTGTAGTCCCAGCTACTTGGGAGGCTGAGGCAGGAGAATCCGTTGAACCTGGGAGGTGGAGGTTGCAGTGAGCCGAAATCGTGCCAATGCACTCATCTGGGCAACGGAGTGAGACTCCGTCTCAAAAAATAAAATAAAATAAAATAAAAACGTATGAAGTACTGATGCACACTACATGGGTGAACATTGTAAACATTATTCTAAGGGAAAGAAGCCATGTACAAAAGCCCCCATATTGTATAATTTCATTTGTTTGAGATGTTGACAATCGGCAAATAGAGGCGGAGTAGGTTAGTGCTTTTCAGGGACTGGGGAAAGGGGGAACAGAGTGCTGATGGACTTGGGGTTTCTTTTTGGGAGTGATACAAACTTTTTAGAATTAGTAAATGGTGATGTTTGCACAATAGTCTGAATAGACTAAAAACTATTGAATTGTACACTTTATAGGGTGAGTTTTATGGTATATGAATCATATCTCAATTTTTCAAAAAGGCAGTTGAGCTAAGGGAGACAGTCCTGGCCCTTGGGTACACAAGGTAATTGTTTTATTTATTGGCTAAAATTTCATGACATTCTT